ACGTAATGAGGCACATAGAATTATGATATTGGCACCGACTGGATCTGCTGCTGCTCTATTGAATGGCTCAACATACCATTCAGCTTTAGGTGTAAAAAGTGTTTCCCGAAGAAACCATAATGAGAATTCAACCATGGCACAGGTCAGATCTCGTCTAGATGGTGTAGACTATATTTTTCTAGATGAAGTGTCTATGACCTCATGTTATGAGCTATATAAAATAAGTGCACAACTGGCCAAAGGAAGAAACAATATGGATGTACCCTTTGGTGGAATTAATATGATTTTTGCAGGTGACTTTGCACAGCTTATGCCAGTCCAAGGCCAGGCCCTTTACAATGGAACTGTTGGCACATCAGTGGATGCCTCCATGTCAGAACGTGGGCAGCAATCTGCTATAGGTAAAGCACTTTGGCACCAAGTGACTACTGTTGTGATGCTACGGAAAAATATGAGACAAAATACACAATCAGTGGAAGATGCCAAGCTAAGGACAGCTCTAGAAAATATGAGATATGCAGCATGTACTGTTGATGACATTATATTTTTAAGAAGTCGTGTTGCAGGAAGGCGACCTAACCAGCCAAAGTTGGCTGACAAACGTTTCAGAAATGTCTCTATCATTACTGCTCTGAACTCCCAGAAGGATTGAATTAATGAATTAGGTTCTGCACATTTTGCAACAGATACTGGCCAAACACTTACTGACTTTTACTCTGTGGATACACTGGGGGTTGAGTGTGATCCAGTCACTGGGAAAAAGCCTTGTGGAAGACCTAAGAAAACTACTGTATGCAAAACTATCAGTCCAAAGCTTCAAAATTTACTTTGGAACTTGCGTCATTCTGCCTCTGACCATGTTCCTGGAAAACTTTCACTGTGTATTGGTATGCCAGCTATAATACGAAATAATGATGCAACAGAATTATGTATAACAAAAGGTCAAGAAGGTCATATCGTTGGATGGGATGCAAAGTTGGGCCCAAGTGGACAACAAATCCTTGAAACTTTGTTTGTAAAGCTTGATCGTCCTGCCAAGACAATCAAGATTGAGGGATTGCCTGAGAATGTAGTTCCACTAGTAAAGAACAGCAGGTCTATTGAATGTATCTGTCCAAGTGATGTTACTCTCACTATATCTTGTTCTCAAGTGTCTGTGCTGCCCAACTTTGCAATGACGGACTATGCATCACAAGGAAAGACTCATCCATTTAATGTGGTGGATTTAAACAGCTGTTGTAACCACTTATCTTACTATACTGCTCTTTCTAGAAGTGCAACATGTGAAGGAACTGTAATTGTACAAGGATTTGACCCATCAAAAATCACCTGTGGTGCATCTGGTTATCTTCGACAAGAGTTTAGAGAACTTGAGCTTCTTGATGACATTACCAACCTTAGATACAATGGCCAATTACCTGAATCAATCAATGGGCAACTGCGCAATTCTGTTTTATGTCAGTATCAACAGCTCAAAGGGAAGGGGTATTGTCCACAGCATGTGATGGGGCCAATCAGATGGAGTGAAATCTATCCAATGCAAACTTTCCAAGTGATTACTGATAGTTCATGGACACTCACCACAAAATCAACCACTGATAAGGCAACTGAAGAGGTCAACATTCAATCACAAAAGAAAAGTAAAAATGTCACAGGATGTTTTGTTCCTGCGCAGGGATCAAAGGCAATTGCATCTACACTAAAAAGGAAGGCAGAGGAGGGTCTGAATTCTGATGAACCTAAATCAAAGAAGATTAGAGCCAGCTTTGGACCTACACCTGAAACTCCTGTTGGGATTCTTTGGGATTCAGTAAATTACAGCTGCTCATATGATTCTCTATTTACAATTTTGTGTGAGATTTGGATTTACAATCCAAAAAGCTGGACAAAAACATTTTATTCATTTGGTAACCAAGGAAAAATATTGTCAGAAGGATACAAAAAAGTTATCAGAGGTCTTGAAACTTTAGAAAATGTTAGGAATGATGTGCGTGCATCACTTAAACAAGAAAACTCAGATTTATTTCCAAGTGGACAAACTGGGACTGATATCCGGGATTTAATCTCATACATTTTTACTTCACATCACAACATTAGCTTGGGCTACCGCAGAGTATCATGTAATACATGTGATTTTTTTCAAGATCTTGATAATCCACCTGAGAGAGTCATGTCAATACTTGATGGAACTTACAAGTCAATTAATGAATGGTTGCAACAATGGCTCATGGAACCAAGCATATGTGATTGTGGTTCTCCAATGGCAACTTCCCGAATGTATGATCAACCCCCTTCACTTCTTGTATTCAGTTTGAATACAAGTAGAGTCTCAATCAGCAAGACTATTCGTATTAAAGGCTCCAATGGTAAGTTCACAGTCCTTCCACTGAGAGGCATAATTTATTCTGGTGGATTTCACTTTACATCTTATATAATTACCCCTGGAAAAGAGGTGTGGTATCATGATGGTATGGTGACTAAGAGACGTTGCATAAAGAAGGGGCATCTTACTGATTTTACAGAAGATTCTTTGAAGACCAGTGTAGAGAAAAATTCATCTGGTGAGTCAGTTGAGCGGCATGCAGTTGTAGTACTTTACTCTAAAAAATAAATATATATTACTATATATATATAGTTTTTGTTAATATATGATAACATGTGGGCTTAAACATATAGCTACACTATAAATGCTACTACAGTTGCAAAAAAAGAGGACTCATATCTGCTGTGCTTGCAACGGCCTCTTACACAAGTGTGAGGAATGATAAGGTGATCACCAATATACCAGAGGTCGTCACACAGTTGAAGAGTTGGTAAGCTCAGTGTGGTGGAGGCTAAGATTTTACACCAGGAGTCTTCAGTGTACCCTGCCTTGATTTCCTGAAGGAAAGTGTCATCAGTTGAAATCTTAAGGGTTGCATTGACGGAAGACATGGTTTCTGATGTGTGTGCCAGTGACACAGCTGCATTGTGAATAGATGTGTTTTGTCTGGATTGACGTACAGGCATGCATCACAGAGTGCTTGCAGTATTGTCTGCACATTCGCCTTGTGTTCCTCCAAAATATTTGACCAAATAACAATGTCGTCAAGGTATATGTGGCAGATTTTGCCAATGTATTGCCTCAGGGCCAAGGTAACACATTGCTGATGTATTGCTGGCACATTCTTCAAACCCATGGGCATCACAAGCCATTCATAAAGGCCTAATGGTGTTGTTACAGCAGTTAGTGGAATGTGGTCAGGGTGCATTCACGTTTGGAAAAAACTATTGGTCATGTCAATAGTTGCCCAGATTTTTCCTTTTGTGCAATCATTCAATATATCATCAATGTGTGGTAGTGGGTGGCTATCAGTGATAGTATTTTTGTTTAATTGACAGTAGTCATTGACCCACCGCAGTAATATGTTTGGGTTTGCTTTAGGCACAATAAATGCTGGAGAAGTGCACAGAGAAGATGACAGGCATATACGTCCTGCATCAAGATGCTGTTGTATTAGAATTTGCCAAGCTTCTTTATCTTTCCATGGCGAAGGGTATGTTTTTGTTTTTATTGTTTTCTCTGCATTTTTTCCACCATGATTTCAGTGGGTAGTTCATCTATGTGTGGAATTGGTTCGAAAATTTCTTCAAAATCTGATTTGATTTTAGTTTCACATTTCCAGAGAGCCTCTTCATTAGCAAGCATTTCAATGTGTTCGCATACCATGTCCACCACATTAAAAGGTGCTACTGTTTTGGGTACACCTTTACCAGATTTTTGATGGTCATGGCACATTAACATTAGGGGTGCTCATGGTTCTCATTTTTGATCCATTTTTGATTCACTCTTCATTCCTTTTTGTAGACATAGAACATCAAAAATGAACTGAAAAATGAGAACTGTGAACCCCTTGAAATTTTCAAAAATGAGACCAAAAATGAACAAACAGTGGCTATGATGGTCTTCATGGAACTTGAGTGTAATCCCAGGATTACGTTTATTTGGCAACAGTTCTATTTTTAGCACATATTTAACTTATCATATGCTTCACTTCTTCTTCTTTGTTTTCTCCAGAATCACCACCATCTCAATTTCTCTCATTACGCTATCTTTCCATACTCTCAGAATCATACACCTGGTTAACTTCTGTGAGTATCCCTAAGTTCTCTTGAGTGTTTTCTATCCCCTCTTTTAGGGTCTAGTTTTCCACTTTTTTTGAAGTTACACCTTGGTCATAGGTTCTAATATTTAAGCTGCTGCCCTCACTGTGTTTATTATCACTGCTGCTTTCAAGACCACCATTCTCTGTGAACCTGCTATGATGAATCTTGCATCTATTGATTATATGTGGTGAATCCTCATTGGCCTTGGCTGCATACCAGGGGTCATCACTCTTTATTTTCGTCTTACTATCCCAGAAACTCCTCATTTTACCATGGACATCAAACGCAACATCAATCAAGCCTCTGCTGACATTAAGACTATCTTGGATGCAAATAATCCTCCATCTGAGGAGCAAAATATTATCCACATTGAGACCCTGAGGGGAACCTGGTCAGATTTTATTGCTCATTTTAGCCAATGTTCCAACTTCCAAGTCCTTTTTGGAGCTGGTTACTCATGGTTCACTCTCGATGTAAGCTTAATTTAATTTCTCAACCTTTGTGGCTGCAATACCCTATCCTTTGTTTAGATTGCTTTTTATGGCTTGGGTCTCAATTCTGGTGATAACGCTGAACATCATTCTTGAAGGAACTGCTCAAGATTACATTTACCAGTGCCAACATGTGCACACCATCCTTATTGTACTTGGTGCATATATTGTCTCCTACTGTACGTACATGCTGAACAAACTTGTTCTTGATGTGTTGTACTCACAGCTCATCTGATAGTGGAGGGCAATACACCTTTACCACAAACCAAATATCAACTGCCCACATGTTGATCCTGGAACACCCAATTCATTGAAAATTTCAAGGGGTTCACAGTTCTCATTTTTCAGTTCATTTTTGATGTTCTATGTCTACAAAAAGGAATGAAGAGTGAATCAAAAATGGATCAAAAATGAGAACCATGAGCACCCCTAATGTTAATGTGCCATGACCATCAAAAATCTGGTAAAGGTGTACCCAAAACAGTAGCACCTTTTAATGTGGTGGACATGGTATGCGAACACATTGAAATGCTTGCTAATGAAGAGGCTCTCTGGAAATGTGAAACTAAAATCAAATCAGATTTTGAAGAAATTTTCGAACCAATTCCACACATAGATGAACTACCCACTGAAATCATGGTGGAAAAAATGCAGAGAAAACAATAAAAACAAAAACATACCCTTCGCCATGGAAAGATAAAGAAGCTTGGCAAATTCTAATACAACAGCATCTTGATGCAGGACGTATATGCCTGTCATCTTCTCTGTGCACTTCTCCAGCATTTATTGTGCCTAAAGCAAACCCAAACATATTACTGCGGTGGGTCAATGACTACTGTCAATTAAACAAAAATACTATCACTGATAGCCACCCACTACCACACATTGATGATATATTGAATGATTGCACAAAAGGAAAAATCTGGGCAACTATTGACATGACCAATAGTTTTTTCCAAACGTGAATGCACCCTGACCACATTCCACTAACTGCTGTAACAACACCATTAGGCCTTTATGAATGGCTTGTGATGCCCATGGGTTTGAAGAATGTGCCAGCAATACATCAGCAATGTGTTACCTTGGCCCTGAGGCAATACATTGGCAAAATCTGCCACATATACCTTGACGACATTGTTATTTGGTCAAATATTTTGGAGGAACACAAGGCGAATGTGCAGACAATACTGCAAGCACTCTGTGATGCATGCCTGTACGTCAATCCAGACAAAACACATCTATTCACAATGCAGCTGTGTCACTGGCACACACATCAGAAACCATGTCTTCCGTCAATGCAACCCTTAAGATTTCAACTGATGACACTTTCCTTCAGGAAATCAAGGCAGGGTACACTGAAGACTCCTGGTGTAAAATCTTAGCCTCCACCACACTGAGCTTACCAACTCTTCAACTGTGTGACGACCTCTGGTTACGAGTCCTCTGAGTTTACGAAGAGACTTGTTTATTACCCAGGATCTCAGGACTTTTTTCAGCGCGGTAACACTGAAATTTGACTTTCTCCCACGAACGTGATTTCTTCCCACGATCATCTGCTTGGTTTGCCTACATGACTTTCCTAGTCTACTTGACCATTCCTTGATTATTACTGTCTTTTAGCCCTATCCAGGTTGTCGTTGATGTAGGTTGTGGCTAATATATTGCTCTATTTGGCTTCCAGACTCTGATGAATGAATGCATTGCCTCTATTTTCATGTTCATGCAACTCAACTTGTTTACATTGAAGGTACAACAATTAAGGTCCTGACAACTTGTGCAAATGAGCCCATGCTCTGGTGAAACAGGCCACAGGAATGTACTGAGCAGTTGGTGAGCATAAGGCAAAAAAGCGAAAATACAAACCTACTTACCTGGATGGGAACTCAACCATTTTGTAAATGGCTTTGTGGAGCATGTTTGTGGAGTGCGTAGGTATTGAATTGAGTCCACGCCCATGCGAAATGGACCACAGGAAGGTACTGAACAATTGGTGAGCATAAGGTAAAAAAGCAGAAATACAAACCTACTTACCTCGATGGGAGGTTGACCATTTTGTAAACGGTTTCATGGAGCTTGTTCGTGGAATGTGTAGGTATCAAATGAAGTCCACGCTCATGCGAAACGGACCACAGGAAGGTACTGAACAATTGGTGAGCATAAGGCAAAAAAGCGAAAATACAAACCTACTTACCTCCATGGGAAGTTGACTGTTTTGTAAACGGTTTTGTGGAGCTTGTTCGTGGAAT